GTTCACTCCCAGTTCTGGTACCCAGTGCCAGAAACACTCGCCTCTGCTAACACTGCCTGCAAGACCCCACTGAACGACGACTGCCGCATCTCCCACGTCTTCCGTGAGTTCTACGGTGCTTGTTAAAACCACAGAATGCAGCACTGCCCAAAATTTGAAAACCTCAGCCCTGATATTTGCAAGTGAAACCCATCACAAATCTTTCATTACTAAGTGATTTTACTTTGGAAAATGAAATAAGACCCCGGTGACTACGTGAATGCTTGGCTAGCACACGAAATATAAGGAGGCTAGTAATATTAAATATTCACCAATTAATTTTAACAGCACATTTGATACCTCTTGAAACAACATGTTTTTCAAGATAACTATTATTAAAAGCGTAAAGTGAACCATTTCTCCTTCTTTGTGCACCGGTTGGTCTAATCACGCCCAATTTCATGATTCGGTGTTGCAGGGCTGAGACATCCCTCTCGCCTCCTCAACTGGAGGAGGACAGATGCAGAAGCATTTCCAGAAATTATCTCTGACTCTATCAAATCGGAGTCTTTGCTCGACTGTGGGCCTTGACGGGCCTCGAAAGCAGTTGCTACTTAAAATGCTGGTTGTATCTAAGTGAACACCTAATACAAATGATTGAGTTCAACCTCTTTACAGACAGCAGCGTATCTTGAAAGTCAGATAAAAGCGTTGCGTCGATGAACCAAAAAAATTAAAGAAAAACAGGTTTGGGGAAAAACAGTGCTCAGTTCTGCACATGAATACACTGCACTCGGAAACGTAAAAACAGCTTTAATGGAGTGTCCACTGTTACAGCTCCTACACGTACAGGTGCTCACACATTGCAAAAGCCAACACAAACCTCCCGAGTTTTGTTTCTTTCCCGCCCATCCCCAAATCGCGTCCATAAACTAAGTTTCCTGAGTTTCTTTAGAATTAATGCAGATTTACAGTGATGAAAATGGTTTCAATTACATAAGCGTTTTTCTTTAAAGGTTTTCTTTCTTGGAAAGACACAAATATTAAGGTCAGCAGCAAAAGAGTAAGTACCACCTTGTGCTAACAAGACTACACAAACCAACCCCCAGAAGGGTCAATTTGGTTCACTCAAAGCACTTACAAGCATGAGGATGGAATTTCTACGTGAAAAAGGCAACAAGCACTGGTCAAAACTTTATGATTACCCTCACTCTTCGGTCTTCTCACCTCTATTCAGTTAAGAGAAAAGTTTGCACATTCTTGGGTAAAGAATCCATACAACTAAAGATACGTTATTATTAAAAAACACTCTATAAGCAAAGACGGAACCAATGAGGATGTGCTTGAATTTAATGCCAGCTAAAACAGGAAAGAGAGAAACAGAGTTTAAGTGTAATTTAAACTAACGAGTAATATTAAGCTTACAAAAACAAACGAGCCAGTGTCATTTTAAAGAATTTTTAATGAAAAACAATTACAGGTACCCGTCCTTATTTTAACGAAACTAGAAAACTTCGCTATTCCGGACGCAGGCTGCTAAGGCACCAGCAGACTACCTGGTGAAGCAGCGTGAGCAATAATCGTGCACACCGACAGCCACACCCCGAGAACCTCCATTGCGAAACGACCGATAGCCACAGCTTCCACCGGGCTTCAGCCGCATTTAGTCAAAGGTCATTACGAACCTCCCAGCCCATACATGACTACGAACGGTTCTCCAGATTTAATTCTGATTTTCCCCTGGAAGTAGAAAGCAGATGAGATGTTTATCCTGCTCAGTACAACGCAGATTACTTGAAATTCCACTTGGGATTTGGAGCTGTGGGCCCAACACATGCAAAAAGGGAATGCCAATAATCACTCTGACAATACATTAAAAAAAAAAATCCACTGATTTGTATGAAGTGAGCATGAAAGGATACAAGGTTGGTTTGGAAGCCACGCTCTCTTTTATGGCAAAACAAACACCCTATTAAAAATCTACTACTTAGCAATTATTTGCTGACACACTTGACCTGTTTTTTATGTACGCAGGCCCCAAAATAAATAAACATTGTATTAAGTGAGTTATTGGAGTGGAGGCCACGAAAGTATAAACTCAGGTAATATACAAAAACTCAGTTTATACTTTCAGTGTAAGTACATACTTTCGGATTAAGTTTTTACTAAAGGCAGAGAGCGGTTTATGGGGGAAAAAATACAGAACCCTACCAGAAACGCCGTGAAGTTACATTTGCACTTTCAGCACACGGAGGAGCCGCCGGCGGCCGCTCCGGTGTCTCTGCACAGATTTGTTTCCGCAGAATCAGGCTAAAGACCTTCCTCCCACGCCTCTGCCACCGGGAAACGATGGCGATCGCACCTGCGAGGCTTCCGACTTAATTTTAACAAAAATAACAAGCGGGGACGCGCTCTCTGAAGCCTTCTTAAACGGGAGAAAGGGGGGGAACCCCCCCAAGCCACTGGGGACTGACGCCGTGACAAAGGAGACGAATCACCAAGAGAGCCGGGCAGGCAGCGCACCGGGCGGGTGGCTCTGCGGGGGCCCAGGCGACC